AAAACCATCCGGGTTCTTTTGGCAATGATGGGTGCTTTTGATCTGGAACTGGAGCAGCTTGATGTAAAAACAACATTCCTTCATGGTAATCTAGAAGAACGGATTTACATGTCTCAACTGGAGGGGTTCGACAGTTCTAAAGGGGACCAGGTATGCTTGTTAAAAAAATCTCTGTATGGCTTGAAGCAGTGGTATAAAAGATTTGATTCTTTCATGGTGTCTAATGGTTATACTCGTGATTAGTTTGATAACTGTATTTACTTAAAGAAAGTTTCTAGTGATTCCTTTGTGTATCTGTTGTTGTATGTGGATGATATGTTAATTGCAGCTAAAAACATAGTTGTAATTAATGACTTGAAGGCTCTACTAAAGGGTGAGTTTGAGATGAAAGATTTGGGTGTGGCAAAAAAAATACTGGGTATGGAGATCTGACGTGATAGAGAAGCAGGATGGTTATGGGTTTCTCAAGAAAAGTATATTAAGAAAGTTTTGCAGGCATTCTCTGTTGATCAGTCCAAACTGGTAAGTACCCATTTGGCGGCACACTTTAAACTTGATCGAAGCACTATACCGACTACAGATGAAGAGGTTAGCTAGATGAAGACGGTTTTATATTCAAGTGCAGTTGGAATTCTTATGTATGCGATGGTATGTATGAGACCGGATCTCGCTTATGTTGGTTAGTGTGGTGAGTAGGTTTATGGCTAATCCGGGTAAAGCTCACTGGGGAGTTGTAAAGTGGATCTTGCGATATTTGAAATGAGCGCTGATATTTGTCTGGTATATGATGATAAAGGCCATGGTGATGGTCTGGTTGGCTATGCAGACTCTGATTTTGGGGGTGACTTGGTTAAACGAAGATCACTGACTTGCTTTATCTTCACTCTGTTTGGATGTGCAGTCAGTTGAAAGTCTACTTTACAACCTGCGGTTGCACTGTCGACGACTGAGGCGGAATACCTATCAATGAATAAAGGTATTAAGGAGGGTATCTGCTTACATGGTCTGGTGCAGAGTTTGGGTCTGAAGGTGGAGAAACTGGTGTTATTCTGTGATAGTCATAATGCTTTGAGTTTGGCTAAAAATCAAGTGTACCATGAGAGAACCAAGCATATTGATGTAAAGTTGAATTTTATCCGTGATGTTCTAGAGGAAGATAGGTTTTCTATTCAGAAAATAGCTATAGAAAACAATCTAGCTGATATGTTGACAAAGGCGCTACCGACGGAGAAGTTCGAGCACTGCTTAAACTTGGTGAATATTCACATAAGGTAAAGTCCTCTCGAGGCATCTGGTAGAAAAGAGACTACTAAGAGATACTGACGAACATTTGGCTGTTGGAGAAACTCCAAGTCAAGGTAAAGATTGTTGAAACATGACTTGGATTCAGCGGTCTACCCGATCCAAAACCAACGTGAAAGGGCTGTTTCAATTGGTAGGGTTCCTTTTGGGCTTATCCTAATTAATAACAAATAGACTTAGGGTTTAGGGTATTTTGGGTGCTTATAAATATATAACTATAGTTCCTAGTCGTATAACATAATTGTAACTCTCTGAATCAGTATAATAAAATCTCTCTGTTTCCTGCCCGTGGGCGTAGGTTGACGCACCGTCACCGAACCATGTAAAACCTCTGTGTTCTTTATTTGATTTTTTTCTCTTTTTCTCATAAAATTTAATTCAAAATCCCCATTTAGTCGTTTGTATTTATTATTTTAGCCTTGGCGCCACAACACAGGGCTAGTTAATTGATGAACGAGTCTTCCGGTGTGGCATGGTAGTGACACTTCAGTTTGAACCGGCCGGGGTGTTACAGTTGGTATTAGAGCCGACCTGCGACAGCCTGCAGTCGTTGACCGGACTGGTGACGAGCCTAGCAGTTGACGAGCCTTGGGGTGCAACGTGGATGATGCATTCTTAAGTGTGGAAGGATTTAATACCCCGTAGTTGGGACATTGCTTGGCCAACTCCCGTGTGTGGAAGAGCCATTGTTAGGCATCCAAATTTGATTAGAGGTTAAATGGATTGAATAGACTACTCATGCAACAATGTGCATATTTTTTTTCGGAAGCCCTACTGAAAGAACTCTAAAGTTAAGTGTGCTTACTTTAGAGTAATTTGAGGATGGGTGATCCCCCGGGATGTCTCCCAGGGTGCGCGTGGACTTATGTTGACCTATGGGGCTAGTCTACAATCCCAATATGCTCGACTTCGCGTGGCTTGCGGACCGAGGTGTCACAGCAGGAATAAATGATATTGTCATTATTGAAGATGATATGAATGGACCTCCTAGTGTTGTTGCCAAGGGGAGTCTGGTCAAACAGTCTCCGTGGGTTATGTTAATGATATTTTCATTATTGAAGATGATATAAATGGTATTACAAAGTTGAATGAATGTAAGATTTGCTTCTAGGACATGGGGAGCCATTGACTGATATTGATGTTGAACGATATAAAAGGCTGGTAGGAAAGCTTAATTATCTCACTATCACCCGACTAGATATATCATTTGCAGTAGTGTAGTGAAGCCAATTCATGCAATCTCCATGTGACTCTCATTGGAAGGCACTTATGTGTATTTTGCGATATATTAGAGTGTCTCCCAGAAAAGGATTACTTTATACAAATCATGGTCATTCTGAAGTCATTGGATATTCAGATGTTGATTGGGCGGGGTCTCCAATTGATAGGCGTTCTACCTCTGGTTATTGCGTGTTTATTGAAAGCAATTTGATATCTTGGAAAAGTAAGATACAAGATGTGGTTGCGCGCTCTACTGCTGAGGCTAAATATTGTGCTATGGATTTAACTACATGTGAGCTTTTCTGGATTAAAAAATTACTTTGTGAACTCAAGTTTTGTGATGTGACAAAGATGAAGTTATGGTGTGATAACCAAGCAGCACTACACATTGCATCAAATCTAGTATTTCATGAATAAACAAAGCATATCGAAATAGATTGTCAATTCATCAGAGAGAAGGTGTTATCTGGATCTATAGATATGAAATGTGTCCTCAAATGATAAACTTGCAGATATATTTACAAAAGCTCTTAGAGGTCCTAGATCCGAGTCCATCTGCAACAAGCTTGGATCATTTGACTTGTACGCTCTACCTTGAGGAGAGTATTAGATTGAATATATTCATATCTATATCCATATCCATATCTATATCCATATTCATCATATCATATCTATGGTTTAGTTTGTTATGATAGAGAAAACCTTGAAAGTTGATAAACAGAAGGAAAGACCTCGGAAAAATCAAAAGTTGCAACCTCGCTTGATTTTTTCTACGCCAAACATTGGACCCACTCCAAATTGGCAACGCCGATGGGTGCTGAAAAATACACAGCAGAAGGAGTGTGATGCTAAAGCTAGCCAATTATCGGTTGTTGGGTTGTTGTCGTCTGAGTTCAAAGCTCTAGACGAGGAGCAGAGTTACGATGGAGTGACCGTAGATGAAGAACCAGCTACAGAATGGAACGATGTAGTGACAACAGTCACATTTGATCTAATTAGGTCCCGGTAGAATAAACATGTGAAGCCCCTATACATTCGAGCTTTAATAGAAGGACGACCAGTGGGTGTACTGATAGACGGCGGCGCATTTGCTAACGTGATGCCGTTTCGGACATTCAAAAAATTAGGAAAGACAAGGGATGATTTAATACCAACCTCAATACGAGCCACAGACTTTATGGGAAACTCGTACAAGCTAGCGGGAATTGCTACCGTTGAGGTGCAAGTTGGCAGAAAGAAGTTGCCCTCAGCGTCTGTGATAATAGACAGCCGCCCGTCGTATGCAGCATTGTTGGGGCGAGATTGGATTCACGTTTGCGAGTGCGTCCCGTCGACTTTGCACTAGAAGTTACTGTTTTGGGATGGCGGTGAGGTTCAAGAGGTGGAAGCGGAGAAAGATCCATTCGCAACGGAGGTCACAGCTGTAGATGCGATTTTCTACTATTCGAAGATGATTCTATTGTCGGAAGTGATCGCCTCCATTCCTAACGAGGGGAATTATGAGTGTGTGTTTAGTGATAACCAATTCGGGGTTCAAGCTAGGGCCGATCCACGGCCTATGAGTGAAGAAGATTATGATGAATTTAGAATGCGATGAAATTCAATGTGAGCCATCTGGAGCAAGCTCTATTACGAGTTCGGAGCCGTCCAAAGCTGGCTCCTTGGAAAACCTTGAGCCGCCCGAAACAGGCTTTTTTACGCAACATCTAGAACCGACCAGAGTAGACCCCGTGGAAGGAGCAAAACAGCTTAGAGGAAAGTCCATTGGCAGTTCGGAATCATCCAGGGAAATTTCCGGTGAAGTAGAATTACCATCACCCATGAACAAAACATATCTAGCGTTCTAGGCTCAAGACCCGCTAGAGGATGTTGATTTGAGTACCGATGGATTTTCACGAATGACCATGGTTAGTGCATTGTTAACATCAGAAAATCGAGCCGCTTTGGTAACACTTATAAAGGAATACCAGGATTGTTTCGCTTGGGATTATGATGAAATGTCAGACTTGGCTCGAGAGCTTGTGGAACATCGATTGCCCATAAAATTCGGATATAAACCTCAAAAGCAGCCATCACGAAGGTTTAATCCAGATGTATACTCAAAGATCAAGGAAGAAATTCAGCGGCTCTTGGGGTCAAGATTCATCCGGACTTGTCGATATCCGGAATGGGTGGCCAATGTCGTTTTTGTACTCAAGAAAAATGGCAAATTGCGGGTATGCGTCGATTACCGTAATCTGAATTTGGCAACACCCAAAGATGAATATGTTATGCCTATCGCTGATATGTTAGTGGATGCAGCCACCATGAACGGGAGTCTATCGTTTATGGATGGGTATTCCTGATATAACCAAATTTTCATAGCTGAGGAGGATATTGCAAAAACGACATTCCGATGCCCAGGGGCTCTTGAAGTATATGAATGGGTGGTAATGCCGTTTGGGTTGAAGAATGCTTGAGTGACTTACCAGCGAGCAATGAATACCATATTTCACGATTTAATTGGACAGTCTGTGGAAGTTTACATCGATGGCATCATGGTGAAATCCAAGAGTTTCTCGGAACATCTGGTGAATCTCGAGCAAGCTTTCCGGCGAATGAGGCACTATAATTTGAAGATGAATCCAGCGAAGTGCGCATTCGGGGTGTCCTCCCGAAACTTTTTGGGTTTCATGGTGCAATATAAGGGTATCGAGGTAGATAGTAACAAAACGAAAGCTATCATCAATGCCCGACCACTTGAGAATCTGAAGCAGCTCCAAGGATTCTTTGGGCAGGTGAACATTTTTCGAAGATTTGTTTCGAATGCTGCAGGAAAGCTTAAAGTTTTTTCCATGTTACTCAAATTGCGGAAGACAGAGAAGTTTGTGTGGACGCTGCCACACCAGCAGGCTTTCGAAGCTATTAAGGAAGCTCTGACCAATCCGCCAGTGTTGATGCCGCCGCAAGCAGGCAGACCTCTACGCTTATATGTTTCGGCCACTGAGAATACGGTCGGTTGCTTACTGGTGCAGGAGGCTCCCGATAGAAGCGAGCGTGCCATTTTTTACCTTAGTAATGTAATGAATGATGCGGAGACAAGGTACATTCCTATGGAAAAATTATACCTCGCATTATTTTACGCTTGCACGAAACTCGAATATTATTTCGCCACGAGGGAGACGGAAGTGGTGTGTCATGTCGATATTTTAAGATATTTATTAAGCAGGCTAGCTTTAAGAGGGAGGCAAGAGAAATGGGCTGTAAAGCTAGCCGCATTTGATCTATGATATGTACCAATTAAAGCTGTTAAAGGGCAGGTCATTGCTAATTTTTTGGCAGATCATCCGAGCTCGGTATCTGACCAAGCGACTGATCGTATGGAAGTTGTAATTAGTCCGATGCCATGGATCTTAAAGTTTGACGGTTCTAGCACGCAAACCAATGCTGAAGCTGGGTCCTTATCGAGAGCCCATGGGGAAGAAAGTGGACCTTTGTTAGACCATTGGCATCCGGATTTACTAATAATTAAGCAGAGTATGAAGCCTTATTAGTTGGACTGAGGATTCTCCATAAAAAAAGGGAGCTAAGGCGATCATAGTTCAAGGCGATTCACAATTGATTCTGAAGCAAATTGTCGGTGAGATCCAATGCAAATATGAAAAATTGAGAAGCCTTCGAATTGAGGCAATTACAATGTTGCAAAATTTTTATGACGCGGTGGTGGAATTCATACCTCGAGCTGAAAATGAAATGTAGCAGCTAATGTTTTAGCTCAAGAAGCCTCTGGGTATAAGTCATCCTGTCATAGGAAAGTTCAAGTCTGGGCGAGTATGTCTGTGCCCAGTGGAAGTGGATGATTGGCGTATGGAGCTAAGAAAGTATTTGGATCAACCAACCGGTGATACTCATGAAAAGTTACGGAAACAGGCTCTGAAATTTACTTTGATTGATGGAGATCTTTTTCGGAGAGCCGCCGATGGAATGCTATTGAAATGCGTAGATACTCAAAAAGCCATGAAGGTGATGGGTGAAGTGCATAAAGGGGTTTGCGGAGCACACAAATCCGGGTTAGTCATGAGATGGACGATCCGACGATATGGGTATTTTTTGCCATCAATGACAGAAGACTGCATCAAGTATGCTCAAGGATGTGAAGCGTGTCAGCGACATGGTCATTTGATCCAAATTTCAGCGGAAGAAATGCATACGGTCGTGAAAACCATGGCCATTCCGGGGATGGGCGATGGATATTATCGGAAAAATCCATCCGCCATCCTCCAAGCGACACTCGTTCATATTGGTGGCCACGGATTATTTCACAAAATGGATAGAAGTTGTACCATTGGCCAATGTAACATATCAAGAAGTGATCAAGTTTATTAGAGAACACATTATTCACCGGTATAGAATTCCGCAAACGATTACCGCAGATCAAGGTACTGGTTTTACCAGTGATAGAGTGGTAGCCTTTGCCACACAATACGGGATTACTCTTTTGCATTCGTCCCCGTATTATGCGCAAGCAAATGGGCAGGCTGAAGTAGCCAATAAGATCTTGATCGGAGTAATTAAAAAGGTCGTGGAAGATAACCCGAGAAGATGGCACAAAGTGTTGGGGGAGGCTTTATGGACCTGTAGGCAATACCGAAATAAATCCACTGGTTGCACTCCATTCCATCTGGTCTATGGGCAAGAGGCGATACTGCCGTTGGAAATCACGGTGCCATCTTTACGAGTGTTGAAGCAGAATTTGCTCAATCCCGAGCAATATGCCACAGCTATGTTGCAAAGGTTGGACGACGTACACGAAGATCGGATGATGGCCTTGGATAATATCCAAGTGAATAAAGCGAGAGTAGCACGAGCTTACAACAACAAGGTACGTCGGCGAACATTCTACGAAGGAGATTTAGTATGGAAAACAGTGTTACCCGAAGGATTCAAAGATAATACGTTTGGGAAGTGGTCTCATACGTGGGAAGGTCCATATCAAGTAAGTAAAATGTTGCCTAACGGTGCTTATAGATTGATGAGTATTGATGGGACGGAACATAGAAATGTTATTAATGCTAGGCACCTTAAGGGGTATATGTTGCCACTTGAGTTTTAATAAATGAAAGAAATGGATAAGTGAAAGCAAGTCTTTCCCAGGCCACTAACAAAATAGAAGCAGGTTGTGGTGCCGCTTTTAGAAAGAAAACAGGTTGTGGAGTTATTTTCAGGAAGAAAGCATACTGTGGAGCTGCTTCAGACAGTAAAGCTGACGAATGAGTCCCTTCCAAGAGGAAAGCAGATGGAGACGAGACTCCGGAAGAATTCAAAGCTCCACTATAAGAAAATTCCTAAAAAGGGTAAAGCTCCATATGTTTCGCATTTTATCGTTTTTTTTTTAGGGTAATTGTTGGACCCCAAGTCCAAATAACTCAAAGTTGAAGATAGCAACTTCCATCAGGCTGCGAAGCTTCCATAGAGCAAGAGGGTATACCTTCCATAGGCCTTTAGACAACAAGCTCCATCAACCCTGGGTTGGTAACTTCGTAACATTAATAGAAGACCCCGGCACCTACATGTCCTATATGGAAGGTTCTATGGGTCAAACCGAAATAAAGAAGAAGGAGGATTCCATGTAACTCGAGGCTGTTGGAGACATATCCCTGTAGACCGGCTAGGAGTGTGATGGAAGCAAGTCAAGATAAGTTGCAGGTCTAATCCAGAGGCAATGGAAGAAGTTCAGAGTGAATGGAACCCAGTCCAGAAACGATGGAAGACGTTCAAAACGAATGGAACCCGGTCCAGAGGCAATGAAAGCGGTTGGGAGCTGATGGAAGGAGGTTACTTGGCGGTTAAGAGAGGTGGAAGAACAATTGGAACTGCCCCTTTTAGTGGAGAAGGTGGTTATTCTAGCTTAGGATTAAAATTAGGAAAAAAACACAACAGACACAGTACAACAAGATCAAATCGTCTATTTTCTCTATTTTTCTAATTTCAATTTTATGCAATTTAATTTGATTTACTTGCTTTCATGTTCTTGCAATTTATTTTACTCGTTTTTCTTAGTTAATCCTAGTGTAATTCGATCAGTCTCGTGAAATTTTCATAACCCGATGACGGATTGGCTCTCTGTAGTACTTCCGGAACCCACACCGACGAAATCGACGAGCTATTTTGGAACCTCCGAACTTCAGGATCCAACAATAGTATAGCGCGGGCAAAATAATCGTGCAGAAAATCAGACTGGGCAAGCCAACCCAGTAACAGTAGCAAAATAAATTCAAGTCAGATGGCAAAACCGACCATAGCAGGATATCGGGGATCGAAGCAGGAAACGGCGGCCAAAAACTGCTGGACGCGGCAGGAAGGAGGCGGTCGCCGGAGGGATGCGACATCGATCTGCGTCGGAGGCGCGTGCGGCTGCCACACGCCCGCATTGGCGACGAAAGCAATGAGAATTAGTAGCTATGTCAATCCCAGAAGAAAAATAAGCTCTGATACCATATTTGAATATTTTCGGAAAATAGAAATTGTATATGGATGTAAAAAGAGAGTTTCAATGTGCATATATATCGACATATATATGGGCCCCAAATGACAATATATAAAAAATATGCTATATGTTTAAACTTGAATTCCCAAGGAAGGTAGAAGAGAAGGGAAACAAAAGATAAAATGGTAAAATAGACCAAAAAATGTCCAAGAATTTATCCTTTGATATCTATCTGATGGTTGGATGCAACATCCCGACGTCCTCCCTTGCGAGGCTGAGGCTGGTCAATGGGTACCTGGTGCTTCTAGTTTGTCTGTTGTGATGGAATAAATAGTCTCGGTGTCGTCATCTTTCTCTTATGGCCAGCTTGTTTCTGATCGGGGAAACCATCTGATCGTCTTCGTCTTCGTCTTGGCGAATGCTCCAGTGGGGAACTAGGCCCCTTTTTGGCTTGTTTCAAGGCCAAATTTTTGATCTAATACTTTATTTATTTATTTATTTGTATTATATAAAATTTTATTTTTTATAAAATAATATTTAATTAGATTAAATATATTTATTAAAATATAATTTTTATAATATTTAAATATATAATTTAAAGTTTTTAATTATATAAATTATTTTCATTGTAAAATTATTAACAAAAGTATTTATATAAAAAATAATAAAATTATGTAGTATGATGTTATATGTTTCAATGATACCTATATTTAACCCTATTAAATATTATCATCTTAAAATAAATTTAATACAAGATTAATTTTCAACATCGTTAACGCCACCACGGACAATGGTTAAATTAAAAATAAAAATAAAATAAAATAGCCTTAAATAGCTTACTTGGCTCCAACAAATTTTGACTCAACACAATTGACCCAAATAATTATACAATGACTTTTGAGTTAATTGATTTGAAAAAAGACCGCTATTGCCCCATCTGTACCGCTCTACCCAAATCATTTCTTTATCGTGGCTTTTAAAACCGAGCCACTATGTCAATATTTTTTATTAGACTTAGAAGAAAAAAGTCTGGTTAACGTGTGAGACCATCTAAAAACAAGCCATTGGTGTTGCTCAATCACATTAAAATTTTTGTGAATATTTTAATAAATATACATTAATAATGTGATGAGACAAAATCCAAAAATTGTACAAGTAGTTTTGAATTGGTAGTATTGGGTAGACTTGCCTATGTGTTTAATATTTTGACTAATAACGTGTTGAAAAATAAAGTGATCATCAAATCGATCTATATAAAATATTTTAAACAATTTATTCTTGGATTTCACCGATCATATTCAAATATTTGAATAAAGATTTTTTATACGGCAAATAAAATGTCATTTGAACTTTTTATGTAATGATTAACCAACATTGAATATGAACAAATACAAATAATTCAGAAAAAAATTAAACAAAAATACATAAATATGGCTACGCGGCGGAAGGGGAGCGGGGTTGGGTCTATCGATCGACTACTGTTAACTGTTGTCGTAAAAAATCACTTCTGGTAATTTAATTGAAAAAGTCTGTCGGAATCAATTTAATCAAAAGGTTCCCAGCTTCCTCAAGAAAGCACATGGACTGTCTCGTGATATTCGAATTAATTAACTGAAAGGAATGTAAAATTAAGGCCAATAAAAACAAGAAAGAAAGCTTACAATTAAATTGGAATTAATGAAAAGAAGATATAAAATAAAGTTGTTCTAAAAAAATAATGCAGATAAAAAAGTAAAAGAAAGAAGAGGATCATAATGAATGACGTGTGTTCTCGTGTTCTGATCTTGATCTTCTTTAAATCTTGTTATTTTTTTAATTTCTTTCGATAAAATTTTATCCCCCAAATTTTCTTCAATATTTCTAACCACTTCTTGACCTTCTTGTCTTGGCTGGGCCACTTTCAAATCAAGTTGGATCTCCCTGAACGATGGGCCAGACGGGTCAACAGGTCCATCTACTATTTTAGAATGTATGCTGGATCGCGAATGTCCTAGGAATTGCTCTACAGATTTTTTACCACACTGATGCAAATTTGTAAAGTCCGAGACGGTCAACTCTGGAAGAGGGCTATAGAAACGCTCGTGGAAGGCCCTCTTCATGTTTGTCCATGTATGGATGAAATTTAGAGGTAGCGAAGTGTACTACGAAAAAGCTGGACCTGTCAAGGACAATGAAAAAAGTTGAACTTTATACCAGTCATTATTCTCATAATCTTATCCGCATTGAGCCGTTAATCGGCTGACATGCTCGATGGTACAGTGGAAATCTTCCCCTGAGAACCACGTGAATTCGGAGATCCGAGCATTGCGTGGCAGCGGATATCCAAGTGAATGTACTCCGGAAATAGCCTTTGATAGTGTGTCTTTTCCGGTAAACGGATAGGGCCACCATAAATCCTCCGAATTGCATCCTCGATCGCTTGGGGATTTATAATTGGAGGTGATGGTGGTGGCACTTCTGTCTGCCCCCTAGGCTATTTGGGAGTTGCCTGAGCAGACGACGGATTGCCCCCTGCCGGCTGCAGAAACGCCTGATGAGCAGGTCCCCGTTGTGAGAAACGAGCTTGAAGGCCCTCTATAGCTTCTCTAAACACTGGAGCCTGCTGCAATGGTGGATTTCATGGGGCTGATTGGGCAGGATATTCATAGGTTTGTTGCACCCCAGAACCATCAGCAAATCGACCTTTCCCAGCAGTTCACGTGGCTTGTCCGTATCGTAGGTTGGCCCCACAGGCAACACAAGTCCATCCAGCGCGCTTTTTTCCTCACTCATGCGCACCCTGGAAGACTTCCCAAGAGGTCTAGGGCAAGCACACTTAACTCTAGGGTTCTTTTAGTATGACTTCCGAAAAAGAATGTGTACATTGTTGATATGAGTAGTCTATTCAATCCATTTAACTTATATTCAATCTCGGATGGCCTGCCACCGACTCATCCACGGGAGTTGGCCTAGCACCGGCCCAACTTCGGAGGTATTACATCCTCCCACACTTAAGAATGCAACGTCCCCATTGCCCCCCAAGAATCCTCAACTGCTAGACCCCTCAACAGTCAGGTCAACGACTGTGGGCTACCGCAGGTCAGCTCTGATACCAACTGTGACACCCCGGCCCGCAAGCCACGCGAAGCCGAGCATATCGGAATCATAGACTGGCTCCACATGTCAACACGAGTCCTTTCAAACTTCCAAGGGGGTCACCCATCCTCAAATTACTCTAAAGCAAGCACGCTTAACTTTAGAGTCTTTCAGCAGAGCTCCCGAAAAAAATGTGTACATTATTGACATGAGTAGTCTATTCAATCCATTTAACCTATATTCCACCTCGGATGGCCTGGCACCGACTTATCCAAGAGAGTTGGCCTAGCACCGGCCCAACTTTGGAGGTATTACAGTATTGGGATGGTGTTGGGATTGGTCCCCCTGGTTCTCAAGTCATTTCAGAAGGCTTTGGGAGAAATGAAGTGTTGAAATCGCTACCCCCATGCATTGGAAGTCTCTTGTCCGGCCATTGGGTTTTTTGTAAGGCTCGAAGTGGGGATTGGGGTGCTGAAAGTAGCTTAAGAAAATAAGAGATTATTTTGCCCGTGTGGTGCTGATAGGACTGACCTGAAGGTCATCCCGAATCCGTCGGTTGAAGGCGAACCAAAGAAAGTTTGCCCGGTCGAGGCCCGAGATTCTCTGACCTTCTCGTGTTCTGATCTTGATCTTCTTTAAATCTTGTTATATTTTGAGTTCCTTTTGATAAAATCTAATCCCCAAATTTTTACCAGCAACTCCAACAATTTTCTAACAATTTCTTGACCTTTCTATCTCGGCTGGACTACTTCCAGATCGAACTGGACCAAATGTAATAAATCGTTGCTATGAATCTACAAATCGAACTGGACCAAATTTTTACCAGCAACTCCAACAATTTTCTAACAATTTCTTGACCTTTCTATCTCGGTTGGACTATTTCCAAATCGAACTGGACAATTTGATAAAATCTTATTCCGAGTTGTCCAAATGTAATAAATTGTTGCTATGAATCTACGTCAACGCAGAGTTTTGAGATTTTTGTTCGTGTCCAGGCAGTTTTCCACCGAGGTTGCAACACTATTGAGAGAATTAAATGTAGTGGTGGCATGAATATATTTTTTTTGATTTCTGTCCAAACCTACATCTTGAACGGACAATTAAAGAATAGGTTTTCTCCTGCCGGTCCTTGCACAGGGTGCAAACAAGATCGATATCAAGAAAGGACAACCGATCCTTTGTTTTCAGCTTGCCCAACATCGCCAACCAAAAGATAAATGAGTGTTTCGGGAGAATAAGATTGACCCAATTAGGTATGAAGAAAGGTAATTTGCTACCCAGAATTCTGAGCTCGTTATCAGGGGCGGCTCATAGCAGGAGCAACTGCTCAGGGCCCCTAATTAATAGAGGGACTATATTTTAAATATTATCTATTATTATTATTATTAAATTTTAAAATTAAATTTTAACTTTTATTTTATATTTTTTTTCTTCTTCATAGTTATCCTATTTAATTTTAAAATTAAATCTAAATTTCTAATCATATATAAATGTTTTTTATTTCTTTCTAATCGTCTACACTTCTTTACCTTACACCCTATCGCATTGCCCCCAGCAACTCGATCAAACTTGTCTCACCTTTTTTCTCTTATATCTTTCACCCTCCTTCAGTCCTTCTTGCTTTTCGAACTTGCAGACAAACCGTCTTTTATCTTCTTTTCTCAAATTGATATTGTCCAGACGGTCACATTCAACCTCTTGTTCAATCAATGTCAATCAGTAATATTATTAAAAATACATTTTAATCATGTATTTGTAGGGTTTATAATTTATTTTCATTCAGGGCCTAAAAAAAATCCAAGACGGCCCTGCTCGTTATAAGCCACAACAATATTAGTTTTGTCATGGCCAACCATTGCTAAGGTTAGATCTCGAACCTAGTCAGTGGAACCAAATTGAGCAAAGTATTGGTGTCTCGAAAGACGGTTTGTCTGCGGTATGCCACACGCAATTATTTGTATGCGGTATGCCACTTGCAATTTGCAGTGTTCCTATTTTTGTAAGAATCTTGTATTGTGGATGTTCTCAAAATTTTTAATTTTGTTCATCTCATTAATTAATTCATATGCTTATCATAATACACTATTCTGTATTACAATAAATCAATATAATACTTCCTCCGTCACTTAGAAAATATACATATTTCTATTTTGGGACATCCAATTACAAAATAATTATTTCATTAAATATCTCATTTTTTTCCCATAAATACGCTTACTTTACGTAAAAAGTAAGGACAAAAATATCATTAAACTATTTTTAACTACGCACTATAATTAAAATACTATTATTTCTTAAATTTTGCGTCAAAAGTAAATGTTTACTTTATAACCAGACGAATGAGAGTAATATAGTTATTAAAACTTGCGTGTAGCTTAAATGAGCGCGCGTACACACATATATATATCTATATTACTAAGGGTGTGTTTGTTTGGCGGATTCTTAGGATTTCTATTATTTAGTAAAGAATTTTTCCTCAAAAATATCAAATCAAACACTTATTTTTTTATTTTTTATATTATATTAAAAATTAATTTTACATTCAAAATATCACATCAATTCCTATTTATATAACATCGTATAATTATTCAAATTCAAAATTTTTATTATTCAAATCTCAATTCAAAATTCAAACTCCCAAATAAACACAAAAATTCGTCAAATTTTGGAAGAATCATAGAGGGATTAAGGTGACTGGAAATGACAGTTGAAGTGATAGATCCAGCCTGAAATTTATGAAACGAAGCCAAAATGCCAGAGGGAGATGACCCATGAATATCAAAGCCGAATGGAATCAGCCCAATGGAGGAAATAATGGACATTATGTTGGGATTGAAAAACTATGGTGGAGGAAGAGCCCAATTGAGAGGAGAGATCTAAATCGATAGAGCCCAAAAGATGTGGTGTCGGCCCAGGAAGAATTTTGAGAGTCCATTTTATATGAAAAATCAACAATTGGTGAAATTTATGAAGATAAGTTGTGGCTGCAAAATTTAAGATATAAATGAAGCTTCAAAGAACAATTATTAGAGGAAGTTGGGAGGTACTAGGTGGTGGATCAATTATGAGTTGAGAGTTTCGACGGTTATGCAATTAATTATTGAGAGTCTTTAATGATAGCAATCAGACACAATAAAGATCCAGTCCTTCTTGAAGCTATATAGCCGAAAATAAGAGACAAAAGAGGATCCCTAACCAACAACACAACATTTTATCTTTTGTCTTTAATTTTTTTTCGAATTTTATTTTCCATATATTTTACGTTTTCTTCCAATTTCATTTCAATTATGCATGTACTTTTCATCTTTTTCCCGATTCATTTCCTTCGGCGAATTTTTTGTTAGATTTTTTTTTTTCGCAGATACGAAATATTTTTTCTAGGGGTGCCATAAGGGACCTCTAATCTATTTTTTGATCGATTTTTTTTTTTTTTAAGCCGTTGCAAAGTAAAATATCCAAATTTTCTAATACAACAATATCGTGGATGAAGACAATAAGTTTAATGAAGAATAGTAAAACTCTTGAAAATGTGTATAAATAGGACTTAAATATCATTTGAAAAAAAAAAAAAAACACACAAAAAAGAAAAATAAAAAGAAAAAATTAAAGAAAATTTCTCCACTAGAATACATGTGGGGATCGAGGATTAGTTGGTAATGAAGTATATATCGATAACATACTTGCGATATAATTACACGTCATTCACATTTTTTTTCTTTAACTCTGGAATACATTTCATACTTAGTTATGGTCATGGAGCAAATTCCCTTCTAGCAGTCAAAAGGAAAATAAATAATCCCATAAAGGATGACGTAGTGGCGTGGAGTAGACTTATGATCGTGAGATTATGAGTTCAAATCTCCTATGCCTCCAGGTCATCTTGTCACACATGGTTCGCCTAATGTACCTTGCTTTGTCGGATTTGGTTTGCAAGGTATTAGACTTGATTGAAATTTACCCAGTGTGCACTTTCGGATAGCGGCTGCGGTACCTACGTCATAAAATAATAATAATAATAATAATAAATAAATAAATATTTCTGGAGACAAATTAAACGCGCATTTATGGCATGCCTTGAATTTTTATTTTTGAATTAAACACGCATTAATGACATGCCTTGAATTTTTTTTTTTATTTTTGAATTTTCTATTTGAATACTATTTATGCAATACGTGGGAAATGTTGACTGCATTGCATGCCTTTATCTCTCTCTATATATATGGAGGAGTATATAAGATGAATTTTAATATGAGATGGGGTGGTCTACGCTAAAGGTTCTGTTGATAGCCATACACATGGTGGGATTATTGCTTTTGTTTCACCCAACAAGTATTGACGCAGCATCAGCTGGTACAACCCTCTTTCTCTGCTTAATTTTATTCATATAGCTACAACCAGTGCAAAATAATATGTATATATATATATATGCGCGCGTGTAAAATATCATTTGCTTTTTGCATTTTTGAATATTAGTATTATATTGAATTGTAGTGAAAAAAGACAAAAATACCCCTATTAGTATAGTGGAATATAAAAGTAATAGTATTTGTGTAATATATTGTAAGTTGAAAGGGTATTTATTATATTAGGTAGGTAGTCCAGTTACTAAATTAGGAAATGATAACCTTGGGACGGACGAAAATAAAAAATGGCAATTTTTCAATGAGATGGGGGAGTACTTTGTTTCGAAACTTTCGAACCTATTTTAATTAGTCTAAAAAATTTTCGAACCTATCGAATCATTTAAATTCACCCGTCATTATAAATTAATTAATTTGAATTTTGATTTTAATTAATTAATTGTGAATTTGATTTTATGTAGATATATATATTTATTATTTATATAGTGTGTAAAAATATAGAAATATTAATTGATTAAATTGTTACAGTATCAGAATAATTAAAATAATAAATTTAATAAGTAATTAAAATAAAATTATAAAAATATAAATAAAGTTTAAAAAAAAATTGATGTATTTCAATGAGGTAGTTTAAATTAAATACTCCTTCCCCTCTTTTCCACATATGATGATCCGTTTCGTTATAGATAAAATTACTTAAATAGTGTAGATTAGTAAATTATTTTAATCCTGGGTATTAATACGAAACCGACTCTGAAGCTAATTAGCATGTGTTTTGATTGAAATGTATAGAGACAGTAAATTGTATTACATAATATATATATTAAAATATTTCATATGATTCTTATTTTTGTGACAAAAAAAATAAAAGGGATTTTATGTTTTTGGTTAAACCAATAATAATAAATTATGAATTAAAATTTATATAGATTATTTTCTACATTTATCTTAAAACACATGTATTATGTGTATGTTTAATTTTTGTTTAAATTTGAATTTTTATTTAAATAATAATATCTTAGTATGATGTTTTACGAAAAAAAAAAAAAAAAAAATCGTCTAAACTCAGTATTTTTTTTTTACCATTTTTGTACGTTTAATTTCAAAATATCTCTTTTCTACTTTATTAGAAGCAGTTATACAGTAATATCAAAATATCCTTAATTTTTACTTAAATTACATATTGTTACACGCACAAATACTTTATACATAAAGTCAAAGAACAAAAATGTCAAAACTTCTTACAAACCTTCACCTGACAAGAAAAAAATACTATTATTCTTAATTAACTATAACTCCAAAGGACTCATTTGAAGTGAAATAAATGAAGTACTCCCTCCGTCCTGGTCAAGATGACGCCTTTGCTTAAGGATACAGTATTTTAGGTAATGTAAATCAGTAAGTTATTAATAATAAGTTATGATATTATTTTATTATTTTTATATGATTAGTATTGTTGGCATTTTAAATATTTTTAGCATTATATATCAATAAAATATATACAATATGAATATCATTTTGTAGAGAATAAAATTTTATATAATACAAATAAATAAAAATAATAATTTATTTATTTATAATGAACTTAAAACTAATTTTATTAAAAATAAGAAATTTTAAATATAAATAAAAATATTTATTTATTGAGGAGAGAGATAGAAATAAAGGGATTTTGAGTGGATCCTATGTGTAAGAGGTTAGAAATTAAATTAAATTAATTTATATTTGTTAAATATGTTTAAGACGAATAAATTTACTAACAATAGAAATGGGTCATCTTTAATGAGACGGATAAAAAAGAAAAATTGGTCATCTGTCGCGAAACGGAAGGAGTATATTTTTATCAAAGCTGTACATATTATATAATATTGATTTTAGTTTCAAACCAAAACTAAACAAATACATACATATAGTTTTACCATACCATTTGAAAAAAAAATTAGAGTAAATTGCACAATATCTCATTGCATTTTAGTAATAATGTTTGTGTTTTTTGTTTTTTTTTTTTTTTTTTTTTTTGCAATTTTGTTTTTTCTAAATTTTGCTAGTTGGACTTTGTATTTTAAAAAAAAACATATATTTTTTCTTACAAAATATTCAATCAAATATTATTTTAATACCGAACCTAAACCAATTTTCCCCAAAGTCACCAAAAAAAAACACATCCCTTGTGTTTATTTATTACGTGAAATCTTTATTATATTAATTTAAAATGTGCGACAAAACACTCCCTTCGTCTAAAGCTGATACTTGGTTGTAAATATACACCTAAGTACGTAAGTTTTATATAAATAAAAACAGTAAAATATTTTCAATAATCTTATTTGAATAAAATAAATATATATATATATAATTGATCAATTCTTTATTATATATACATATGTATTTTGTAGAAGTTAGATTAATAAATTTTAGTTTATTAAACAAATACTATTTAAAATATTTTATTATTTTTATTTGTATGAAACATATAAAATTAAATGTGCATTTATAATAAAATATTAGCTTTGGATAAAAAAAAATACCTTTACATATAATTTAATATAACATAGTGAAACTTCACGAAATAAGTGTTTCGTTCATTTTTTTGTAAAACACACATGTATTAATTTACTTGGACTTCAGCCTATTTATATGTGTGTGCTCAAAGTGTATGTGTAAAGAAATTGAAAATTTAATTATATAGGCCTAGTCAATTATTACTTTTATTAATATTATTTTGCTATCAAGATTTCATATGATTTTTTTATTGGGTTCAATTACTCATTATGTTAGTCATAATTACTTATGTAATATCGCACGTTTGAAATTAATATATATGGATTTGGATTTGGATTTGGTGATGGGATTTGAATAGTAAAAATTTTGAATTTGAATAGTTGTATGATGTGATATTTTGAATGTAAAATTAATTTTTAGTAATATATAAAAAAAAAATGAAAAATATATGTTTGATTGAATTTTTTTTGGAGAAAAAATGAGATGAATAGTGTATTTAAAATCTAATCCCCAAACAAACGCAGGTAAAAAGATAATCATTTCCTTGTATGTGTACTTATATACTAGCGACATATTAATTTTAGTGAGGATTACATTGATAATTAAGGTAAAATTGTATATTAACACATTTTAATTACTTCAAAGTTACATAGATATTATTATGGTAGATAATCGATACATATTTGGAAAAACCAAAAGAAGGGCTTTTAACAATTATATTCATTCTACTAAGCATATTTACTTGCGTTCTCAGAAATTTATGGTTATTTAAATTTGAGTTTTGTGTGTGTATATATATATATATAATATATATCAGTTCGATTATGATGTTGATTGATGATTTATCAGAATCATATTGATTATCCCCAAAACACGTGAAAATACAATAAATAATATATGAAAATATATCAGATAATTCTACTTTATATGTATGTTAGTATTGTCTAGTATATACTATTGTGATTATATGCAATCAATACTATTGGGCTCCGTAAATGGAATAATGTACCATATTATTCTAATTTTCGAGTAGCACCATGCATTACTCCATTTTTTAAGTTGTATTCTATTGTAATTTTGTAACTTTTTTAGTGTATAGTGTAATGGTAATTTTTAAAAAATAATATATAATTTTATTTTTTAGAAAATAATGTTAATATAAAGATTTTATAATCTTTCATTTTTCATCGGATGTTATTTTTAATTCTTGAAGGATTTGATTGTGTCATTTCTATCTTATCAAGATCTTTATATTATTTCCGTTTTCGGAAGATAATAATTTATATGCTTCCTTTATTGACAAAATTAATTTATTTTGCTGTCAAATTTATTATGGCTCTATTTATGCACGTAATATTTGTACGATATATTTCATTTTGAATAAATTTTTTGCATTAATGGTTGATATTTATTGTACAAAAATTAATATATCTGCATAATTAAATATCACACATTTATTATACCAGAATTTTATTTTATTCTAATATATATGATATTTAATTTAATTTAGACATTTAATTTTTAATACTTACACCTGTGACCTAGCCGTGCTCAATAAATCCGTTCTCCATTTCTGCTCGTGGAGGTAGCCAACACGTTGTTGGTGAACCACGTAAAAATCTGTGTTTTCTTTATGTTTTCTGTTTTTTATTCGATCATTAACCCTAATCCGTCACAATAATCTACTTCATCAATTAGTCATAAAACTCTTTTGTTTGTGGGTTTAGATTTTTTAATAGTAAACAATTGAATTTGACTAGTTGTTTGATGTGATATAAATAGATATTGATATGATATTTTGAATGTAAATAGATTTGTAGTATAATATATATATAAAAAAAGAAAAGTAATTGTTTGATTTGATATTTTTATAGAAAAAAAATTTGAATAATAAAAATTTTATGATAAATACAAAGAACACGACTTTATAGTTGTTTGGTTTTGGTTTCAAATAAAAATTATTAATATTTTGTAAGCATGACTTTCAAATAAATTATATTAAAATATTATTTAAATAAAAAATTATATAAAATATTCAAACTCAAACCAAAATCAAACAAAGATATGTGTTAAGTCGCAGGTTTTTGCATTTGAATTTTGAATTGTACAATTCTGAATTGAATATAATATAATATAAATAAGTATTTATGTCATATATATATATATTTAAAATGTAATATAAAAAAAATATTTTTCTGATTTAATATTTTTTTTAAAAAAAATGATAAATAGTAAATATCATATAAAATACCTACTAATATTCACAAACTAAAATGAACTTGTGTATTTAAAAGAAAAAAAATGTATTGAAAGACTAACAATACAACAATAATAAGATTATAATTTTAGTATATTTTAAATGTGAAGTAAAATTTTAAAACCACGTTCTCCCTCTTAAATTATAGTTATGTTCACGATCATATACACATGATATGTATATTAGTAACTTGTAATTTTTTATCAGATTGCCAGCCTATTGATAAATTAGTGACAACGAGTAACTTTATGCTAAGGCCACCAAATCCAGCGCCGCCGCCACCTCAACCCGGACGACCAAATTGCCCTTGAAGATCAAAGACAATATAAATGGATCTTATTGCATTCTTTCTATCATGTCATTTGGTTTTAAGTAAGTTATACACATATATATACTAGAGCTCGTTCGCGCTTTGCTACATCGGCTTAGTGGTTGAGGAAGCAAATATTATATAGTAGTATTGAGAGTGTCTTATATTGAGAAGAAGTACAATTGAAGAAATAAAATGTGGTACATATGATTGTATATTGAGTGAAGCAGTGTAATGTATTGTTTGTGTGTAGTATTTATTGTTTAAGGTGTTGTGATGGAACGTTGAAAATGATAGGCATATTTGAATTATTGTGTTATTAGACGTCTTATATTAAGTGATTTGTTCTAGCATTGCTTTTTTTGTAAAATTTGTATTAGTTGTATAGAAAATGTTGAAATCAACAGAGGTTATGGGAGTTTGTTGTATTGGAAATTGTGTGAGTATTAGAAAATGTTAACACCGATTCTTGAGAGTGGTCATTTTATTTGAGTGAGTAATAGTTTTGAATCGGTTAATAAAGTTCTTAAAAAGTAAAGTACTAAGTTGAGTTTGATTCGTATTTTCTGAATAGGGATGAAGTTTGGGGTCATGATGGAAAATATTAATTTACATAAGTTTGATAAAGAGACAACTTAAATTTAATGAGCCATTTATGATTAAGTGAATAACATGTTTAAATCAGTCAACAAATATGTGCAAAAAGTAAACTAGGCAGTTGATTGGTAAATGGTTTGACCGAATAGGAGTGAGGTTTGTGATCATTATGAAAATTTTAACTCACATAACCTTTATTTAAAAAAATTATATTTATTTAAATGTAATAAGTCATTAACGTAAAAAATTAAAAGAATCTTTTACTAGTTGACGATTGTGGGCAAGGCAACCTGAAGTGTAAGCGAATAAATGAAGAAACAAATATATGAGGATGAAATTCAAAACCTTTTTAATACAGTAAATTGAAATCAATCGTTGTTAGAGAAGTTGTTGGCATGTACAAAAATCCAAAACTCTTTTTGTATCTATTTTTGGCATATGGGCAAGTGTTCAGGTTGTTGTTGCAGCTGTTTGTTAACACCATTTTTGAAAATCTGCACAATGACAGAAAGTTGACCAAGTCAGCCACTTTGGATGTATTACGTCTCTCACACTCGATGGAATGAGACAAATGTATATGTGTTGGACAAAGGATATGCATGAGAGGTTATATGGATTGTCCCATCGTATTGCATGACATTTATTTCCTTGTACGCACTGCCCCAAAGTTGACACACAGTCAACTTTGTCTCATATGTGCAGTATATATATTTTGTTTGTGTTGTTATGTGTTTGTATAAGAGGTAAGATACACTACATTTTGAATGGATTTTTCTTTCCACCTAATAGAGTGTTGGAGGTGCTTCCATGGAGGTTTGAAGAGACGAAAAGAAGGATTTTTGGAATCAAAATCGAAAAAGATAACAATCCAGTATGCAATCTTATTCTTAGCTGGACTGTAGGTCTGCAGGAGTTGTTACAGAGTAGTAACAACTAGTCGATGAGAGTTTGTAAAACTAAATAGAGCTTGGATAAAAGATAGGTTGGGTAGTTCGTATTGGTCTTTTATATGGTTAAACTAAGAGTTTGATTTCGTTAAGACTCCTGGATTGGAATCCCTCACACGTAGGTTGGAAAACCGAATTGGGTAAGCAAACCTTGTGTGTTTTTTTCTTTTTGAATTTATTCAGTCATCGATCTGTGCACCAACACACACTACCATTACAACTGCGAGACAACTACATTGTAAAGTTGTGTTTACGTCGAAACATTTCACAGTTCTATTGTGCAAGTTACTCAGAGGCATTGGACCTCTTATTCGATTGGTGCCCGATTTCCAACATCTAGTATCAGAGCAGTGTGCTCAATACCCCGGGTAGATCTGTCCATGGTTCAAGATGAGTTGTGAAACAACCTTGTCCATTTGTCCACCAGTTTTCGTGGGAACAACTATAGCTACTAAAAAAACAGAATGTACGCTTACTTGTTAACACTTGGTGATAAAACTTGAGAGGCTGTAGAACTTGGCTAGGCTCCTTCATCCAAAGTGGTGCTTTAGGAAACTCAAAACGGCCCTCCAACCATCGTTTTGAAGCCAAAAAATGAATGGACGGTTGAAGAGAAAATTGCAGCAAGTGGAAATGCTAAAGCTGTAGATCCCATTGTTGATGCAAATTTTCAACAATAAAAAGTAAAATCCGAAAATAGAAATTATCTTCGAATTTGATAGAATAAATGCATGAGATTAAGAATGTCTAGACACCGTACGGTACATAAATAAAATAGGAAAAATAACTACTATATACTAAAAAAGTAAGGGATGATCCCCAAAAGAAATTCACTGAATTTGATGTCGATTGAAGATTTTTTAAGATGCTTTTGCCAGTTGCGAACCCCCTCTTTAAATATTCCCTAAAGAAACATTTTGAACCGTCGTCTGGTCGGTTACAGCAACCGCTATCAACCGCCCATCAATTTCTCCTCCATTGACACGTGTCTTTAACCGTCTCGCCAACCGCATAACCCTTTCATTGACCAACCGACCAATCCAGAGACTAACTGGTCGCTAGACCAAACGACTTATTGGCCGCCCCATCAAACGACCAACTGACCGCCCTTTCACTTGTCTGACCTCCGAGTCGGGCGACTCATCCTTCTTCGCCCAACCTCTTTTGACCGACCTCTGTGTCTGCCATCTCATCTTTCTTCGCTCGATCACTTTTTGACCGATCTCCGTATCGGCCGTCTTATCTTTCTTTGCCTGTCTTCTTTTTGTCCGACCTCCGTATCAGCTGTCTCATCTTTCTTTGCCCGACCTCCTTTTGACCGACCTCCGTATCGGCTGTCTTATCTTTCTTCGCCCGTCTTCATTTTGTCCGACCTTCTTTAAGGACCCTGCTACCATTATCATTATTATTATTATTTACGTAACACCCATATTTGCTTCGGTCGATGAAGTTCAGTTTCGAATTATTTCAAACTGCAAGAAAACCAAGGATGTATGGAAAGCCTTGAAAAATGCATTCGATGGCACAGCTGAAGTCAAGGAAACTAAACTTCAAAGGGTGGAAAATATGTTCGATACTTTGAAAATGACAGATGATGAAACCATGTCTCAGTACTACACTCAACTCAAGGATGTGGGAAACCAAGCCTACGCTCTTGGCTTGCAGTATAATTAATAGAGGTTAGTACGAAAGATGTTGAGAAGTGTGAACAAAAATTCAAAGTCAAAGTGTCTACAATTGAAGATAAGAAGAAAGCCGAGAACATGACTTTTAAAACCTTGAATGGTATTTTTATTACTTGGGAGATGAATCATATTGAAGAAGAAAGCTCAACAGGGATTGTTCTTTCTACTGAAGATTTAAAGATTGTCGAATCTGATAAAAAACTTTCTCCACTATCCAAGAAGTTGTCTCGAATGATTAGTGAAAAATGTGCTCGGAAATTTCACAAGTCTAGAAACAAAGGTTTACAAGTGGTAAAACATTTGGGGAACCACAAAGAGATTATGACCGTAAGGGTGTTGGTTACAACAAAGGAAAGAGAGCTACAAAAAGAAGTTCTACACTGCTTCTAGACTAGAAAACTCAAGTGACCCAAAAAGTTTTGCATGTAGTGGAGTAGTCCATGTGAAAGTGGAATGTGCAACATTCAAGAAGAAAGAAAAGCATGCATTTCACGCTACCTGGAGTGATGAGGAGTCAAGAATTTGAGAATGGAAGTGATAATGAAAGTGTAGTTGCCTTTTATGCCAATGAAGGAGAATCTAACAAAGGGAAAAAAAGTGTGCCCAAAGAAGATTGTAACAACAAGGATATTGTTGAGATGGACATCTATGAGCCGATGGAAACTTATGAGGAATTTATTGCAGAACAACAAGTTTGTGTGAAAAGGAACAAAAATTTGATAAACACAATTTACCGTTTGGAAGCTCGAGTAGAAAAAGCTAGGGAAGTAAATAAAAAAAATATTTGAAATCAATCAAGGAATTTAGAGGGACATCAAACAGTTGAAGATGAAGTGTGATGATCTGAGAGAGAATAATGATAGGCTTAGGAAAGGAAAAGACAAACTCGATGAAATTTATCGATTGCGGAACCATTTGGAGATCATCGTGGAATCGGTTACCAACAATCTATGAAAGTCAAACCAAATACCTTTGTGAAAAGAAAATTTCTAACTAATGTGAAGATTCTAGAAAAAACCCTAAAGGAGAAGAACATTGAAGGTCCCAAAGAAAATAAAAAGAAAGACATAATCAAAATTGTAGAAGGAACATATGTGTTAATCCGTTGTCACAACAGAAAAGTAACTGCAAGCACTATTTCCAATTTGGTAATGCTGAATCACACTATTTCAAGCTAGCTAGGGATTTGATATCTAGAAAGAAGGTTCATTTGCCGTCAAGGGAGCTTAAAAAAAGAGTGAACTTCAGAACAGAATAGAGACCTAAGAAGAATAAATCTCAGATGATGTGATGTCATTATATCAAGTCAAGAAGCAACTAGTTCATCCCGATTGTATTTTGATATTGCATGTTTACGCTCGAATCATAAGCATCTATTAAAGGATTGTTTAGCCAAAAAATGTGGAGAAGTGATATTTGGAGATGAAGCTAAAGGAAAAATCATGGGCTATGGTTCTCTTGAAGCCAAAGGTATATTGACATTGTCGAAGGTATATTTTGTTGAAGGCTTAAGCGTTAATCTCATTAGTATAAATTAGTTATGTAATGACTAGCTGCAAGTGAAGTTCACTAAAGATTCTTGTGAGGTGTATAACAACAAGAAGGAGTGCGTGATGACTGGAAAAAAAATCAAAAAACAACTATTATTTTCTTGACAAATCCGTGGATGTTGCATTGATCTCAAAGGATGATAAAGCCCTTCTATGACATATAAAACTTGGTCATGTCAACCAAAATAACTTGATGAAGTTGAGCAAGCAGAGAATTATCAAAGGACTACCCAAGTTCTCGAAGTTACCTAACTTTGTTTGTGGTGACTGTGCTCGTGGAAAGTAGAAGTTTGTCTCTCACCGGTAGTCAGAACATCAAAGTAGCTATACATGTCTGGATTTGCTACACATGGATGGGCCTAGTGGATATACCTAGTCTTGGAGGTAAAAAATATATACTTGTTTGCATTGATGATTTCTCAAGATACACATGATTTTATAAAGGATAAAGGTGATACATTTGATACATTTGAGAAGTTGTGAAAAATATTGATGAATGAAACGAGATCAAAAGTGAATTGAATTCATACCGATCATGGAAAGGAGTTTGAGAATCAGAAGTTTAACGATTTCAGTGTTGATTTTGGAATACTTCATGAGTATTCAGCTCCGAAGACCCCATAACAAAATAGAGTCATA